CTAAAGGATAGCGGCCGCGAAAAGGCCCGCCCTGGGACGTGCGCCCACGCAAATAGACACCCGAGGACGGGCGGGCGACGCGGCGGCAGGGACGGGCGAGGGGGGAACGGCGGTGGGCGGCGGGGCGGTGAGGGGCGGGGGCGGTGGGCGAGGAGCGCCGTGGCGTCGCGGATTATCGGCCTGCGCGCGACGAAGGGCGAGACGGGACCAAAGAAGCCGCCGCCGCCGCCGCCGCCTGCAGGACGCCGGGCTGGACGCGGATATTCTTGAGACCCCGGAGGAAGATTAGTTCAGTGCGCCTTTTGTGAGGCGCGTGGAAGTCGTGAAAAGGGGCGACGACCCGTGCACCTAATCGCCAGCTAGGCGAAGAGGACTTAACTTTTCATGGTTGTCGGGCTTCTTTGGGCCTTCCTAATCCTGGAACTCGTAGCATGAATTAAATCATTTTGGCCGGAGAGGTCACTTAATCTCTATTTATGGTTCCTGATACCATATTAATTTTTGTTTTGATATTTTTGATCAGGTAAAATATATTATCTTCAATACGAAATAACTTTAAAGGCGCTGTTAATTTGGAACTTATGAATAAATAAAAAAAAATAGTCAATATCAACTTGTTTTGAACACCTACGTTTCTGTTATATTGTAAATGTTTGCATTCGTTTTTGATATTTTCATATACCGACCAACAATTTTTTCCCATAAAGATACTAAATTTGTAATTAAAAGTACATTTAAGCGGTAACGATATCTAAATAGTTTCATGTGGTAGATTATTTGTAGCGAGCGAAACAACACTCGGTTTTGAATTTAGATCAAGCTTACAATTTCCTTAAAATAGCACCGTTAAAATAAAATATTAAATAGAAATAATGTGGGGCCACGTGTTTAGTAGTTAATGTGTTATTGTAGTGCTCAGTAATCAGATTCCTCCCAGCGGTATTATGTGGATCCGATGATACCTTCAAAGCTCGAAGAAGTCTCCTGAATTCCATTCTCATCGCAAGAAAAAACATACTATGTTTATTAGATCTTTAAACATAATCTAAACAGACACAACAATTCCCGCAAGCGCAAATAAATATAAACAACTCATGTAACCGTAGATTTTCCGTTAATTTAGAGTAACCTCAAATTTGCTTCAGTCTCGAGGACCATCTCAAGAAAATCGCATTGTTACCGGGCGCGAACGTTAATCCGTTCGCCGCGCCGCCTGTGTCCGTGCCAGGGCCCTACGCGGCGCTGCCGCCGCCGCCGCCGCTGGCAAGGAAGAATAGCGCGTAAAGGTTTTTAATGCCGCCCATTACCGGGGATTTATGATCGGACATTAGCACCTCGTATGCGGCGTCGGGCAGATGGGTCTCCTGCAATGGAACCCTTCTGGTGCGGCGCGGCCCCCGCGATTAGGACGGTAACTTTTCATGGCGTCCTTACCATCTGCGGAGCTGCTTTCCCCGATATTTCAGGGTTACCGCACTTGACGTTGAATCTTACGATTCATTAGAAGTAGTGTGGATCGGAAAATCGAATCTCTGTGCCTAGATGGGGAAGTGGATGAGCCGGAATAACAGGACATGGGGTAATTTCGATGACGATCTCCTTTATTTAGCCGATCTCCTTTATTTAGACTTTTTGCCTCAATGATGAAGCACATTGTATCAATCGGATTAATTTAATTAATCGTTAATAACTTCAATCTAACCTTGGGACACAACCTGCATCGAGATGTGGAGTGGTCGTGTTACAATGAGATAATTGAACAGATGTACATATACCACATACTTTTTATCAAACAAATGTTGTGCCATTTGTTTACAGGAAAATATCAGTCTTCTAATTGCTTCTTTAAGTTCTGCAAACTCAGATATCCGTCTTCGCTGGTCTTTCTTCAATCAGCATTCGTGTCAGAAGTAGAAATGTACGGCGTTAATGTTTAATGACGTCATAACGACCTCCATGGCTGCTTTTGCTAATTTCAGGGTTACCACACATTACTCCAGATCTACATTATAATAAGGGAATCTTACGAAAAGCTAATTTCTATGCGAAGATGTGAAGTACTTATGAGTATATGAGACGGAATGAGAAGTCGTACGTAGGCGTTATTGTGAGAGAAGAGGTGACATCATTCCACAGAAGGTCATTGCTCATCAGTCAGCTGTCGTACTCTGGGAACTATTAGCAGAACCAAAGGGTACATTAAATATAATACTTAAACAATAATATTTGTTTAAATATTAGCTTGTTTACATGCTTGACTAGGAATATCTGTTTTATTATTTATATCCGTGAATTTATTTTACGAACTACAAAAAAATACATGTACATATTACTTTCAAAAACATGACTGTATCTTCATGTATGTAAATTTTGTATTGTATTTACAATAGCATTAAAATATTTATCGAATTCTCACTGCACACAAATCGAACACTTATTTGACGTGTCTCAATGACCTTTAAGGATAACATATTACTCGGACAAGTTAAATTGGTTATGCGAATGAAATAAACAATACGATGCATTGATTGAAAGAAAGTCGAAATATAAAATTCAGCATTATTGTGAGACGACGCTGGCTGCAATTTGCAACATGAAGGAGGTCCGCAGTTGAGACGATGTTTTTGAATGTAATGGGACATGGCCAGCTTGCACTTAACTGTGCATCTCAATGTCAAAGCCACGCTAATAAACGCGCCTCTTGTGCGTGCAGAAATAGTTGACCTGAGGGTCACGACCGGGTAGAAGCTCGCGTTATAAATGTCTAAGGCAAATGTGGACAAGTAGACTGCACAAACGAGTAAGAATAATAGTTTTTCATCCAAAGAAAATTGTCTCCTTTTCCCTGCCGTACGCTCGCTTATATCACGTTCAATTCATTTCTTTCTTAAACAATCACATTACATTCATCTTCACAGAGGAATCGATAAAAATGAAATGAATAGAGATGTTCATAATGGGTAATAAAGATGAGTCACGTGGTTTAACGTCATCAGAGTTGGTATTGTTTACACTTGGTCAGGTAGAAACATAACGTGACGAACCTGCGAATCTACTCACAATCCTACTTAACAAGCTCTCCTCACAAAGGATGAAGCTTTTGCATATTTATGTGGAAACTAAACGTCATCTGTTTAGTGTCTGATTTCGAAAAAACCTAATCTCACATTCTCCTGTACTTATACATTCTTTCAAAGTTCATCTACTCTTAAAAGCCGTCGTCCTTCGATGCCTGTTAACATATTACGAGTATTGATCTGATCAGAAATAGAATGTGAAAAGAAAGGTCAGAATCATTCTTTCTCAACAATGCAATGCATTATTTAATAAATTGTATCAAGTTTGATACGGAAGTAATCGATTAGTATTAACCGAATCCTTCAATATTAACAACTTCGTTAATTCCAATATTCCCACGATGATGGGTCATAAGAGCTTAATTCAATAAGTATAACAGTAATAATAAACCGTTTAGCTTGGGTAAATGTCTTCGCAGTGACATAGATTAAAATGATAAAAAATTACAAAATAATCACAGAAAATATCTTCTTAAAAGAATATTCTATTAAGGCAAAAAACGTTAATCTCACTTTTTAACGAACAAATGCACAGCAGATTTGTAGAACGAAGAATGAAATAAGACTAAATAACATTTAGAAAAGCAAGACTTGGAAAACAGCACTGAAATGTATACCATACACGAACGTTGCGGAAAAATGATTGTCGAATTCTATGTTTTGCCTTCCACTATAAGAGAAAAAAAATGTTGCCGTTGTGCACATTTCTTATTCTACGCATCACAAAGAAGTTATGGGACGAAGATTAGATCTCTCCACCTGATATAGTTCGCAGATCATAAACAAATGAATACTCGTTTCCTTCAACATATACAAGTTCATAATTGAATGACTATTTTGTATATATTACATTTGAGAATTATGAACTACAAAAAAATAAAAAGCTGTATAGTATAAATTAGTGAAAATACCAGAGAATCTACAAATATTCTGCAGAAAGATTTATCTGACGACAATCAGTAAGTAAGCTGAGGAAATGCAATAACACATTTGCAAATTCTGGGAAATGTGAAAAGTTTAAAACGCGGTTGGTGAAATGGATTGATGGGATGCAATCTGTTGCAGAGAGCAGAAGTGTTTTGGTGTTTCATCACTCGCAAAATCATTTCTCGTTTGTTTATTCTCGCTTGTAAAGTGTGAACAAAACGTTGTGAAGCTCCTTAGCGTGCACGCTCTTTACGCGACATTGAAAAACAAACGAGCAGCGAGCGGAATGAGGAAGGTTGTAATTTCTACCCTCTCGTGGCAAATGAGGTCACAGAGATAAATGTAATAAGTAAGAACGTAATAACTTTTAAGCAAAATAAATAATGGAAAAACTGATGACGCAATGTTATTACGTTTTTGAAGTAATAAATGAATGAATGATAAAAACTGCTGCAGGAATTAATGCAACCCAAATTTACGTAATTTGAGTAATTGGACGAACATCTATCGAAGATGTAGAAAAGAGAGCATAAAATAATAATACTCTTCAGAATAATATTCGATAAATACAGAAATGAGGAAATAGAAAAAAATCTGTATTGCGCAAGAGACATTCCTGGAATCAAACCCATGGAATTGCTTCAACATTTTACAACGTAATGTTCATTTCCTCCAAAAACAAAAATGGTGCAAATTTTAGCTATGAAAACCTTCACAAACAGGTACAAAAATTGTTTTACAACTTTTCTGTAATTAAATAAAATAAAATTCTTTTAAAAATAGTCTGTAATTTAATTCTGTGCACAAAACGTTGGGATGAACACAACAAAGACGGGTAATGTGTTTGAGCGAGCGAGTGACGTTAAGAGATCTCCAAAAGACATTCAAATAATTCACTCTTTTACATCTTTGTATTAAAACAGTTGATTTTTTTTTCAAGAAATGAATCCTATGAAAAATAAAATACAGATGCGGAGAACGTATTTCAAGACTTACTGCCGTCAAGTGGTGTTCTTGTCCGTGGAAGTCTCTTGTGCGGTGTAGGACCGTCACATGTTCGTTCAAAGTCCACACAACTGCATATTTCTGTTGTTTGGCAGTGCCAGCATGGCGGTTCCAGATGAGTATTCTTCTTCACGCAAAATTGCAGCTGGATGGTGAAAACGCATCTTCCTTTCAGACTTTCAGGCTGCGGCGCTTCAAGAAGAAAATACACACATTAATTATTGTTGTTTCATGATATTTTTAAACTTTATCCAGGGCGTTTCGGACGGGTCTCCTTCATTTTTCAACGTCTTCTGCTCCGTTTTAAAAAAAAGCAAAAAAGTGAGAATATACACCTTGTCCTTTTCAATATTGACCAGATTGTGATCAAATCAAGTTTACCGACAGAGTTACCTCTGTACAACAACTACTGTTGTTTCTGTAGTGATTCTGGGATCCTAGGGTCGGAATCCAACGTGGCAAAATTTTCAATACTAGCTAAATAGATAGGTCGGATACTGTCGGTGCCGGGAATAGAATTCTAGCGGCGTGCTGCTGTGATCGGTAGTATTCCGTGGTTTTGTCGTTCAATACCAGGCTACGGACAAAACAACGGGCCACGGATCGAGTATAATATTTATTTTCTCTTCCTTGTCAGATCCTCACACCTTACTTCACACACACGTAAATGCTCTACACTACCACACATGTCGTGAAACCAATAGGGAGCTTTGAGCTTGTGTCGTTTAAGATGATATACCTCTAAGGGGGAGAAACCTGAGATAATATGATTCATGATAAATAAATACAAAATAAAGTAACGTTTGGCGATAATGTTATTTAAAAAAACTAATTTTTACAAATCATACAGACGTGTTCAAATTATTCGACTAAAGATATTTTTGTAAAAGATTTGCATTTATTACACGTTTACATTTATTACACATTCGTGAGCATATTACAGTCATACATTTAATATTTACTTTTAGTGTGCATGCCTTTGTTCCTAATTAACAATTTTATCCTGTTTGGCATAATGTTTACCAACGTTTCATCTAATTTCAACGTCGCGGTACCAAATCTCCTCTAGTTTGCCCACGTATTCTTCTATATTTCCTTATTCTTTTCTTGGTATTACCCCAAAAATTAAAATTTCTATGGAGTTCTAGTCAAAGCTATTCCGTGGCCATGGTAGCACTTTAAATTGCTTTTCTTCCAAATTCTTGATGACACTTGTATTTGTAGCAATGTGTTTCATCATGCATAAAAATGCAATCTTCATTAGAGAACAACTCTAATTTGGGGAAAGAGTTCCATTTTAAGGATTTTTTTGTATTGGTATTGCCTCATTGTCCCTTCGACATGGTGCATTCTGCCAGGACCTTTCAAAGACATCACACTCAACAGCGTTTCTCTCCAATTATATATTGGAACTTAGGAAAGACATTATTTAGCCTAATAATTTGAACACGATTCAAATTATTTAATAGAATGAAACGAAAAGAACGATTTCCTTAAACAAGAAACGAAACAGAACTACCTAAATAAAGTATAACATAAATAAAAATCCATATAGGATAGTAATATCAGAAAAATCAAGACAAGAGTTTGTATCAAAAGGTCATTATTCTGTCATTATTATTTACATTTTCCTCCCAGAATGACTTCAAAATGTTTGCCTTGGAATTCAAAGAAATGTTTTAAATGACACTAGTCATAGAATCAGGTGTGCAAACCGATCATAAAAATACTCTGACAATAAACTTACAAATCAGTTTCCAACAATTGCTTTTTCAATTAAAGATTATAAATTTATGATTCAGATATAAATATACGTCATTGATTTATATGCCTCTCAGTTTATATAGATCGGTCAAAAAAATTAATCCCTAGACACACACGCACACACACACAATATATATATATATATATATATATATATATATATATATATATATATATATATATATATACATATGATTTACAAAAATTTTACAAAAATCAAACAGCAGTAAAAATTATTCAACTGAAAACTTCAGCTTATAGAAACAAAAGAGAAGTCAATAAAAACTTCTAAAATAACTACAAAAATCACAATTTGCAAAGTAGAAAAATAATATCAAATAACGACTGAAAACACAAAAACTACAGCGTATGTAAAGATTATACTCAACAAAGTATACTTAGCAAAAGCTGTCTGTAAGGGCTGATAAACGTAACAATATTTTCTTTCGGGCACACACTATTTTTTCAAACAGTTCTTTATGGCACTGCACATGCCTTTTAATAACCCACTCATGACGCACTGTGTCCTTAGAAGCGCCGGCCGTATCAGAGAGCGAAACAACAAACACTGGAGAAGTGGAACGATGCCCATGTTCCTAACAGCCGCTGAAAGGAGAACAACTGCTCAGCCAGCAGTTGGGCTGAGACGCGACACAAGCGGTGTATTTGCTTAAATGTCAGAGATATTGTTGAAAACTGCCAGGTGTTCCGAAGGCTACAAATGTGAAAGGTGAAAAATAAGGAGACAAGTGATTTAGAGAAGAATCATGATTTATCCTCAATAAGTAAAGTACATATTCTACGAAAGCCAGAAAAAATTTCGAGTTGATAACGCTAGACAAACTATTTTTAGGGAGATCACGATAATCAACGGCGAACAAGTGTGGTATAAATCAAGAATAAAAACTGAAAATTAATTACAAGGAAATTATTTCAATTACAATGAAAAGTTTGTTCATTTGTTTTTTGTTCGTTCAGTTATTTGTAATGCTTGGTCACGAAGAATCATGAGTTGACCCATCTCCGACGAGAGTAAATTGTTGGGAATTTTCTAGTTGGCACCTAATTGGCTCAGAGAATTGCCAATAAATTTGGGCTCTCGCATTAGCCGCGTGGCAGCATACAACAACGCGTCAGTAATATTTATCAATTACTGGAGACGATTCCCAACTAAGAAAATATGGGCTCTGATTAAGACTAATTGTAGGGGGTTTGAACTTTCCTACTGAATTTAGGCAAGGTACTTCTACCCAAATCCTACATAGCCACTGTGTATTTTCCGCTCTTTGAAACTTCACACGTCACAGCCAGGGTAGAACCTACCATTCTCGGTTGCGAGGCCCAAAGAGCTAACCACTGGACCACCGAGAAGCACTACGAAATATATCAAAAATAATTATTTGTTTCCTCTTTTTATTGCTTTTGCACTTTCCCTTTTTTATACCCAGTTAACTACACGTTTCCTATATTAAATTTTCTCCAAGGCGAGCAACGGTAGTCCCCAAATTGCAGCGCTTTATTCTCCTTCTGCTACCACATGAAAACTGCAACACTTGCCCTGGCCCGCGAGTGTGTTTCCACTTTAACGACTAATTCTCCAGAAGTCATAACACCCTCTCCGTATCAACACGAGTTGAGGCAGACAGTCCAACAGCAAACACGAGCGGCGGAGCGGAAGGAATCTGCCGCCTGCCGCGTGTTTCGGGGCCAAGGGCGGCGCGAAGCGACCCAGCCGGCGTATTCGCGCATTGCGCCACGCCCAGCGCGGCGCAGCGCCAGCCTCGCGGCGCCGCCTCCGAAAACAAATGCAGCCTCTGCGGAGCGACAGCAGCAGCGCCGCGGCGCGGCGGGCAGCGATACGAAAGGGGAGCGGGTGGCTGCGGCGAGAATGCCGAGGGTGGAGTGACAACGGGCGACGGTTGAGAGAGCTGGACAGCATGACAGGCTATTAGAGTGTGAAACGAACACTGAAGCTTGAATGAAAAAACTGTTGAGGGAGTACTGTATTACATGCAATACTGCGCGAAAATGTTTAAATATTTCAAAGAAATGTGCATGTCTTTATTAAAAGAACTAAACGTGGAAAAAACAGTTTTACTTGAAGGAAAAAATTCTACATTGAATTTTGCAGGTGTAGGAAGACGTAAGAAAATTGAAACTTTTGAAATTTTCAAAATTTCAAAATCAACTGTAAAACACGAACCTTTTCTATCTTCATAAGTGTATTTTATTCTATTCTTTCAAAAAATTAAAGAAAAATTTGATGCCATTTTTGAGAAAATTTTGAAAATGTCCCTGGGGCATCTTGTAAAGTACCCCCAAAGTTTCAAGAATGTTTTTCCAAATTGCAGCGCCTCGAGTCGAACCAGATCGACTGGGGAATATCCATTTTGAAAAAACATTTTACACATGGCTTAGGCAATAGTGGTCTTTACTGACGCACAGACAGACGGACGGACGTCTGGCTGTCAATTGATTTTTCGGTATCAAGGACCCACAAAACAGGGATTGTGGTTACACCATTTGTTAGAGGATTTTTGTTCTAAATTTAGCAAATGGATTTAACCACTTTTTCGTTATAGCAATGAGAGTTTTTCTGCCGAAAATCCGCCGTTTTTTCGCGTAGTAATACGTAACTTTCTTTATACTAATAACATCATTTAGGATATACATACGTATACGAGGAAGTAAAAATAGAGAGCGTGGTGGTGGCAGTAGGGCCTCTTTGGTGGTGGGAATTTTTGTCGAACGGGCACAGTGGAAGCATCAAAGGCAGGTGAATTGGCGGGGGATCAAGACGATGCGGGGGTGGAGGGAGGGACCAAGGGGGCATGGAAGGTCCCGAGAGAGGGGTGCAGGACGACGTACGAAGGGTGTGTGTGAAGAAGAGACGGTGACTGTGGGGGCGGAGGAGGCGGAGGAGGCGGAGGAGGCGGAGGAGGCGGCAGGGGCGGCAGGGCCGGCACCCCCGCCACTTCGCCGCCCCCGCCGCCCCCGCCCCGCCCCGCCGCCCGCCGCGCCCCCGCGCCCGCCCGGGCCCGCCCCCGCCGGCCCACGCACCGCCCCGCGCCCGCCGCACCCCGCCCCCCCCCCCGCCTGCCCCCGTCGCCCCGCCGCTCCCCGCCCCCCGCCCCCCCGCCGCCCCCGCCGCCGATCCCCCGCCCCCCGCCGGCCCCCGCCGCCCCCGCCGCCCGCCGCCCCCGCCGCCCGCCCTCCGCCGCCCCCGCCGCCCAACACGCCCTCGCTGCTCTTCCCCCCGCCTTGCCCGGTTTTATCCCCATGGCCTCTACCACCCCCCGCCAGTCCTCCTCCCCCGCATACTCTCTGGCAGAAAAACCCGCCCGTCCTCACTGCCCCCTGCCCTCCCCTGCCTCCCATCGCCATTGTCCCCCGGCCCCGCTGCCTGCATTGGCCTCGCCCCCCCCCCC